TTAGTAGTGCCATGAATTGGAAATCCTGATCTAGGATAGAAATATGTTTTTGGTTTGAGTTTATAAAAATGGTACTAAATCCATGTACCGTTTGTAATCTGAATGTGTAGTACTTCTTCAGGCAGAGAAGGGGACAGAAAATCTAGTCAAAGGGAATAAACACACCTCAAAGACAGAAAACACTAAGCATATTTAGAGACAGAAAATGTAGCTAAAAAATCATAGTGAGAGACTACATCACAGCATTCAAGAACCCAGGCTTTGGAGGGAGCAAATGGGGTTTGAATCTTAACTCCATCTCTTTGGATCAAGGGACTGAGTGAGAAAAGGAAAAAAGATGAGATAGGGGCTATGCAGCCTTGACAACCATCAACCCTCTGTTAACCTCGGTTTCCACATGCTTAGGCTGAGGAACAATGATACCTACTTCAAAGGATTATTGTAAGCATTAAAAGAGATAATGGTTGGCAAAGCCTTAGCATCAGATGGGTGCTCAATAAATGGTGACAATTGTTACCTTTTTATTGTCAAACAAAGCATAGATATAGAAAAAGACACAAAAAATGTATATCTTAGTGAATTATTATAAGGTACACACACCCTTGTAAACATCATACAGCTCAATCCTACACTCATGCATATAATGTATCTTATACTTTTATTTATATAAATATATTTGGTGGGAGGATGGTGGTGATTGTTTGGGATGATTGTTTGGGAAGAGAGAGGGTGTATCACAGTACAGTCTTTATTCTTTTGTTTCCACTTGGTATATTCTCATTTGGTATATTTATTCAAATTTTCTTTTAAATGTCTTAGTAATATTGTTTTCTCTTACATTTCTTGTTAAGGTTGTTCCCAGGCATTTACATATGTTTATTACAATTGTGAATGACATTACTTTTCCCTTACACTTTCTAACTGGCTATTGTTGGAATACTGGGAAGCAATTTTTATATTTTTATCTTGTTTCCAGCCACTTTACTGAATTATTTTATAAGTCCTGCAGAACTGATGTCTCACTGCCCCCTCATTCACAGACTGTGATTCGGGAAGGAGGGGCTTCTGTTTGGGGGAATAGATGGCTTGTTTGGCTTGTGTACAGGAATAGATGGCTTCTGTGTGAATTGCTGGTAGCCCCATACAGTGTTAACCCTACATACAGTGATAGCCCCCATATCGGGGCATGGAAGAGCAGCAACTCAAAGATTCTGAGAAGCAGGAAAGAAAGGATGCCAAGATGAGCCCTTTTGGCCTTTCTACTAACATCAGAAAAGGAAAAGGAGGGTCCACTCCTTCTTTGGGAGAGAGCAATGGAAGCACTGGGCTGTTGGCAATGGTGATGTTCAAGGAAGTATAGCCCTGGCCAATGTGGCAGGCAGAGGCCCAGAGATACTGCAGCGTCAACTTGTGATGCTTCGGTGCCTTTGCAATTGTGGCTGCACCCTAAAAAAGCAGGCATGGTCTAGCTGGCTTTGTGAAGTCCTTACTGTCAACTGTGAGGTAGGCCCTTGAGCACTGGGGTGCGGTGCAGAGCCAGAGCTGACTGGACATTGGGTAGATTGAGTGAAAGAGACAGAATCTCCTGACTATGATGGATCAAAGTCACAGTTGTATTGGAGTGTTTCTTGGAAAGTGTCTCCTTGGGATTGGGATTACATTGGAATCACTGAAGAACATTGTAAAGTGGAAAGCATGGGTTTTTGAATTAGCCAAAGCTGAGTTGAAATATTGATTGTTCCTCTCAGTAGCTCTGTGTTTTAATTTAGCTTCTCCCCAAAGCATACCATAAGATGAGGACTGGATACAAGTAGTTTATTTGGGAAACACAATGATGGGGTAGGAGAAGTGAGATGGGAAGGGCAGGAAGCCCTTAGAGGATGAGTGGGTTACTACTATGGGCAACTGGAGCTCAGTGCTCTGGGAGTCCTCAGACAGACAGTGCAGAATACACTTCAGTATTGTCCCACCAAGAGACATACAAGCTAGCCTACTTATCTACCAACTCCTGGCCCTCAGTTGAAGTTCATTTTTGGGAGCATTAACTCTCCAGCACCTCTGGTGAGCTGACATGCTCTTGTAGCCAGAGAATGCTCTCAGATACTGATGCTTTTGGTGTGCACGAGAAGCGTCTGTGAGTGACCTCCAGGATGGGCTGAGGGGATGTGGCAGTGACACAGATATTTTGTGCTACAGTTATGTGACTTTGTCTGCTTTCATGTTTCTAAAATGGTGATCATAGTACTTAACTGCACTGGATTAGTGGAAAGATTAAGTGCATTAAAGTTTGTAAAGTGCCTCTCAAAGTTCCTGGAACATAGTTGATGCTCAAGAAATGATAATTTTAGTAGCCATAAGTTAACATGAGGGAACAGTGGCTCTTTCTCTGTAGCTGACTTAAGACTTGTTTCTATCAATGTAATTTGTGTTAGAGATGACCGTTGACAGGAGTCAGAAGAGGCAAGCTGTGGCCTTAGGAACAGAGATTTTCCTTGAGTAAAGCAATCCATTAGAATGAGGAAAGAGTCTATTCCTTACAAGCATCATAAAGCCAATAGCTTAGTGAGATATAATTAGATTGTTTTCTCAGTAATAAAGCTTTTGCCAATGGCTTGTACATTTTGTTGCCTGGTAAGCAAAAACAAAGCTTCCACAGAACAGAATCATTTTGTCTGTAGCAATAAAGAATATTTACCAGTTTGTGCTGAATCTCAGAGCATATTCAGGTTAACATAGATGCCAAACTGGTTGTGTTTTTTACCTTTGAACTGAAATATCATCATAGACATTATCATACCTATGGTACAACTCTCTGTGTGCTTGCCCACTAGAAAGAAGGAGGTTTGGGGGGAAGCTAACAGTTACCTGCTTAAGTCAGGGGATGGGGTGGCTGGGCTTGATGGTATCTGAAAAATAACAAGGGAACGTGGTAAACAGGATCCGTCATGAATGAAAAACTGTTTTATTCTTAGTTTTGTTTTATTTGGGGAGGTTGTGTTGCAGTTGAATGTGGCCGATGTTGTCTATAATTTGAGAGGTTTTGGAGGACAAAATGCCATGAGAGGGTTTGGGTGGGGTGTTGGCCTCAGCTCTACCAGAGTGGTGGTTAGAGTCATGGAGGTAGCAGTCCTGAGCTCCTCTCAGACAAGGCCTGCTGGAAGAGTTAGGATGGTGTCTGTCCTTGTGGCAGGCACAGGAGATGAACTGTATACCAGCCCTTCCTCCTCTTCTGTGCTAACAGGCTCTGATTTTCTTCAGCTATCAGATGGCTATTCCTTGATCTTGGGTGGACTAGTTTCAATGGATAAATCAAGTTTGGTTCAAGCCAATCATGGTACTGCATTTATACTTCCTGGTGTTTGGCCTGAGGTGGCCAAGTGGCCTAGAAGTCTGATGAGGATTTTAGGAAATATTTTCTCTCTGGTGAAAAGAGAGTGATGGAGGAGAAGAGGCCTGCTCTTTTTCTTCCTGATATTGGACTGGGGATGTGTGAAGACATGTTTGGTACTGTGGCAGCTATTATGTAACCACGAGAGGCCGTCTCCATCACACTGAGGGTAACACAGTGGAAAGATGGGAAAATCTTGGGTCCTTGGTGATATCACTGGGCTTCTGGATCAACCTGTGACTCCACCCCTCTGGCTTCTTTAATATGCGACTCCTATTGTTTAAACAACTTTTGATGGGATAATCTGTTATTGAAGCCAAAACCATCTTGATTGACAGAGCTCTCAATAAAGAACAAGTTTGGGGGAAATATCAAAGACCCTGATTTTAAGAGTAAATATCCATGGAAGAGAAGAAGAGCTGAGGCAGAACTGGGACTCCTGGAGACGGCTCAATCACCACTGACCAGGACAGGGAAAGAACTGGAACTCCTTTTGATCAGGAGTGGGAAGTGCTCCCCACTGCTAGAAGGTGAACGAGAGCAGGAGCGAAACAGTGGAGGCCACTTTGGGGAGGCGCTGGGACTGGTGCGGCCGTGGCAGGCAAGCCCTGCAGTTCTCTCGGTGGGAGTCTCAGCCATTAGGGCCGACATGATACTACAGCTCTGATAGCCTGATGGTGGTGGAGGAAACACAAGCTTTGGAGCCACACAGAACTAGGCCCTGTCACTCACTTGAGCAGAGCTTTTGTTGCCTTAGCTGTAAAATGAGGAAAGTACTCCATTGGGTCTAAGGATTAAAAAACATTAACTCTTGTAAATTTCATAGGCTATAGTGGGAGTTTAATAACAAAAGATAGTTACAACTATTTAATGGAGACTTGCAGAGGTAGCGAAAATACTTCATGATCCACCACTAGATGCATGATCAACAGATGCTGGGTGAGACCAGGCCAATTTGAGACTTGCTAGGGCAATCCAGCGTTGACCTATCCTGATTGGTTTTCTAAGACAGAAGACTCTGAGGATGGCGTTTCTGGAGACCATTTCTTTTCTGCCTATAGAGTCATATCTGAAACAACAGACATTTTTTGGGGAGGGTAGGGAACAGCAATGTTTGCCATGACACTGTTTTCCCTTGAGCGGGGAGGAAGATAAAGACAGAAGATGTGTAGTGCTAATAGAAATGAGAATGCCAGAGATAAGCAGGTTTTCCAAGGTTCCCGAGGGACTGGGAAGAGGCTCGTCGTGGAGTCTCAGACTCCTGGGAGGAGGGAGGGGGAGGATTGTAGACTGCCCCCTGCCCGTCTCATCATCGACACCTTGGGTTATAGAAGCACCAGGAGAACAAATGTAATAACCAGAACCAGAGGCTTCCTGCTCACGGATATGAGGGGCGAGATGGACCAAAATAACCACACAGCACTAACAGGAGACTCAGAAGCCACCCCTTCTCTCCCGGAGTCCCTTCCTACATATCCCTTCTAAGTAATTTTTAACCTTGTGATGATTCACAGAAAGAAGAAGAATAGAAGTTACTGGTGTTTGTAGTAACAGGATGAGAAAGTGCGAGACTTCCTGTTATGTGTGTGTGACAGCTGGTGATAAGTGGAGGGCCCTGCACAGGAAATCCGCTCAGCTTCTGCAATGTGACCTGCCTGAAACTTGGGCACTCCTTCAGTCTGGATGTTGATGGCAGGACAAAGGGGCACCTGGACCATGAGCGATGTGGTAGAGAAGAGTTTGGAAGGGCCTCTGGCACCTTCTACAGATGAGCCCTCCCAGAAAAGGGGAGAGCTGGTAGAAATCTTAAATGGGGATAAGGTAAAATTTGACGACACGGGACTCTCCTTAATTCTGCAGAATGGCCTGGAGACCCTCCGTGTGGAAAACTCTCTGACAGATGTCATCTTGTGTGTGGACATTCAGGAATTCTCCTGCCACCGCGTGGTGCTTGCCGCGGCCAGCAACTATTTCAGGTCAGCATGCCTAGGTCCAGCGTCAAATTGGGTGCAAGTTGTAAGGAAAATCTGTATTGCTGTGAGAGCCCAATTTAACTAGTTAGCTGTTGCATTTACGGCTTGTAAGTCTGTTTAAGTTTTTGTGTCTATTCAAGACACAAGAAAGGAAACTATTAAACCTTAGATTTTAGGATTTAAAGCCATATTAAAAGAGAGATTGGCACCGTTTAGAGGCAATGTTTATATATTGTGTTATTTAAATATAATATTATTATATTTAATTATTCTGTATATGTGTTAAATATTCTGTATATGTGTCCTTATTCCAGAGGATGGAAAATTACTTAAGTCACAGGGACTTTTCCCTCTTGGTCTGACTAGTGTGTTGGAAACATGATGTTGCCCTTGTTCATCAGTAGAGGTAGAGAAAAGGGTGTGGCCCCTTTTTTGGAGCTATCAAATGACTTGCTGAAAATTAGGGGCTTCTGTTTGTGGCAGGGGGTGGATGAAAAGGGAAAGCAGTTAAAATGTGCTTTAGAAGAGAGTGAATCCTAGTTACAACAAACTCAGAGACCTGGATTCCATTGCACTCTGCTCCTTCTTAATCATGGGACTTTAGGCAAGTCACAATGCTCTGAGTCTCTGTTTTGTCATCTGTAAAATGGAGACAATGATGGTCATTTCTCAGAAGTGTTGTAATAATTAAATATGAGAGGGAAAAGAGTCTCATACAGTGCCTAGCATATAGAAGACACTCACCAGGTCTTTGTTGAAATCTTCACCTTATTCTGCTTGGTTCAGCTGAGAGCCATTTGTTACAGAGTGTTTACCGTGAGCAAATGCCTGGATTAGGAATGTGAGAGATTCAGGAACCCAGTGAATATGGCTGGATCCAGAGTTCCCCAGATTGGTGTAGACACGGGGGGAACCAGTCTCCAAGAGAAATGTGGACGAACAAGGTATTTGGGAAACTTGAAAAAGAAATACCCTTATAATTCTTCTTAACGAGATTCTTCTTAACTCTTGGTTCTGAGGAAATGAAAAACTACCTATGTAAATAGCATGGATGGCATTTTTTTTTCTTCACTTTTTTGAGATGGTTAGGGGAAAATCTTTCTTTGGAATTCAAAGAGCAGGGTCAGCGGGCTGTTGTGAGAATGATTAGATCCCACTTGTAGACAAGGCGAGGGATATCTGGGTTCCTGGGAAGTAGCGGGTGCTACGTGCCAGCCAGACATAGTTATCTGATTTTATTTCTGCAGTAGCACGATGAAGGTGGCTGATGTCCCCTTTCACAGATGAGGAAGTGGAAACGACATTACATATCTAGTCACTGCTGAAGCCGCGATTGGGTACATTTTAGAAATCCTTGTTTTCACTGCAATACAAACTGCCACTAAATTTGGGACTTCATTCTACAGGAAGCACATAAAAGATAAGGCATAGGCACAGCCATAAAGATGGATTGGCATAGATAAACACATTCCTTACTCCACCTCTATTGATCGCATGCTTTCACGTTGATCACAACCCCTTTCAGAAGTGAAGGAAAGTGAATTTAGCTCAATGTCCTGAGTACTCACTGTTAGCTTCTTTCTTTCTGTTTTGAATTACTGGAAAACTGCTCCCATACAATGTTTCCTCTGTTAGCGATTTTGTTAGTGGCTCAGCCTGGCTATGGAACTGGACTGCTGGTGGTGTGCTCTCTAGTACATTACTGGTTTCTCTGGTCCTCGGGTTTCTTGTCCTAACCGAAGATGTGTGGGCTCAGGTCCTTCTGACTCTGCTGATGTAGGATACTGAGGGAAAGCGTCTGCCAGTTGTCAGAGGAGGCTGTGGCCATGAGAAGCTGGAGGCGCCCACGCGGTGCATGTGTCTGCCTGTGGATAAAGCGTCTCTTCCCAAACGGCCTGGTCATGAAGGGAAATTCCTTCTATTCTTTTCTTCAAAGCAGTGACTTCTGATTCTTATCTTGGTATTTCCAAGACGACTTTCCTCCTATCAGGAACACAGTCCTGGAGACAGGATTCTTTTTTCCGCTACTACTACTACTAATAACTTCTGTTGTTGAGCACTTATTATAGTGGGCCAGGCCCTGTGCCACCTCATACACTATCCCACAGCAACCCTTCCAGGTAGGGATGTTTATCCTCATTTACAGATTAGGAACTAAAGTTAATAAAGTGACCAAGTGGGATTTGAACTTAGGACAGGCACAAAGTCAGACGTTGCCTCACTGCCTGTCTTGCTTTGTTTCTAAGATTTTGAAAGGGGGTGAGAACCAAGTTCCCCTTATGTTCAGACTTAGGAAGAGCAGAGAGTCTGCTGTCTGAGAGGCTTCCGAACAGTGCTCTGCACCTTGGAGGGCCTGGAAGCTGGTTGGACAATTATGCAGGTTTTTTTTCTTTATTCATTGAGAACATAAATATTTTCCATCGTTTATTTAACAAGTCCCCTATTGAGAGACGTTTGCATTGTTTCTGATATTTTGCCATTACAAACAATATTGTAGTGAATAACCTTACACATATATCGTTTCATATGCATGCAGGAGTGTCTCGGGGGGCATTTCTGGAAGAGGGTTTGGTCAGTCAAAGAGAATGCATTTGAAGTTTTACTGGATATTGCCAGATTCTCCTTGATAGGGGTTCAATCGTTCTGCACCCCTCACAACCTTAACAAAAAGAGATGGCATCAAACTTTTGAATTTTTCCCAATCTGATAGATGAGAAATGGTATCTCAATTTAGCTTTAATTTGCATTTCTCTTATTTTTAATAAGGTTAGACATCTTTTCACATGTTTAAAGGTCATCTGCAGTTCTTTTTCTGTGAACTATCTCTTCATAGCCTTTCAAATTTTCACGTATATATATATGTGTATATATGTATAATATTTTTTTTTTGAGGAAGATTAGCCCTGAGCTAACATCTGCTGCCAATCCTCCTCTTTTTGCTGAGGAAGACTGGCCCTGAGCTAACACCCGTGCCCATCTTCCTCTACTTTGTATGTGGGAAGCCTGCCACAGCATGGCTTGACAAGCGGTGTGTAGGTCCGCACCTGGGATCCGATCTGGTGAACCCTGGGCCGCTGAAGCAGAGTGTGTGAACTTGATCATTGCACCACCGGTCTGGCCCTTTCATGTATATTTTTTTAAATTAAAACTCATTTTTATCAAAGTACTATATGCAGATAGTTAACAGAGTCAAATTTCTTTTAAAGGCTTATAATGAAAAACAAAAATTCCTCTTCACCTCCTCCACCCTTCAGTCTTGTTCACCAGAAGCCACCATTTCTGACATTCAGCTGTTTCTTCTGGTTTTATATTTATATTTCTACAATATATGCTTAAACTGCTCTTTCTTGCTTTCTCAATGTTAGATATCATTTATTGATTTCCTAGTATGTCTGATAAGGACTTAGTACTTATACCTAACTCTCCCACCATACGTTTCCCTTCCCTGTGATCTCTCAATATAATGTTATCACATTTGTTTGATAAATTTGTATTAAGAGTTTACATTATGTCCATGAAAATATTATTTCCTGTTGAGCCAAATTGTGTGATATGATTATGTTTCCTTTCTTATAAATCTTTTTGTCTTTCCTGAAGTTAATAATTCACTTTTTCCATTCGCTTCATTTTCAGGGTATCTTTTGCTCACAGCCTCTCACGTTGATCTTTCATGTGGTCCAATGCATCACAGAATCTATCCGTTCCATTTTCCCCCAGACTCTTCCTTCCTTCCTTCCATCATCCAGTACATGTTCTCTGACCTGCTGCCCAGCTATTGTCTAGTTGCGTGTGTAACCATGGTAGCCGTAAACAGGGGCCATATTAGTAACTCAGACAATGTAGTTCCCTTTGGGGCCTATTTAAAAGTCTTGAGTGGAATGAGGAAGTTGGGAAAATATGTAGAGTTGAGAGTGAGAAAAGGGCAAGGGAAAAGACAGCTTAAAAAGTAGCTCATAACATACGTTAAATGTGAAACAGCCAAATGTCATGGTGTCTGAAAATTCTCATGGCAGGAAAATCAAGGGAAGCATAGATTTAACATTCAGAGTAATGTTTTTAAAACTTTTATAAGATTACTAATAAAGTGGCCATTTGTGTTAGGCTTTTAGACAGGTCCCCAAATCAGTCATTGGAGGGGGTTGTTCCTCCTGCATCTGGAGCCTTGGCTCCTGAAGGATCTCCATCCAACCAGTGGTTCTCGCCATTTGTGGGGGGAGGGAGCTACGCTGCAGAATGTGACACACTCCGTAAGTGATGTTCACCTGGGAGGGCGACTATGTTGTGATTCCCAGGGTTGGCAGAGGCAGGAGAACAGTGGTGCTGTGGTGGGGGGGGGGGGGGGGGGGGGGGGGGGGGGGGGGGGGCGTGGCCGTCAGGCTTCTCGCAGTCCTAACTGATGACCAGTCTTGCTACAAGAATATGAAAGCTTCCAGGCTGAGGCTGAGTCAACAACTAGGTCCTTTTTGCTGCTGATGCCCCACATCCTTGCCTGGACCTTAACCCCTGCCTTGTACCTTAGTACCTTAGTCTGTGGGGCTGTTGCCTGAGGCTATGATGAGCGGGCTTTGACCGCTAGCTACAAAATTCAAGCACAGGCTGGGAATGGGAATGGTATTATCACAATTTATTAATCATTATTATATATTAACCAATTACTGGATGGCAGAAAGTGGGCCGAGAAGCTACTTTTAGGCCATGTTTAGATGCTGTAATCCTTTGCTTTTTCTCCATAATGATGTAAGATGTCTAAAAAGGAGCCAGCAAGTGCAGGTGACAGAAGAAGTGCAAAGGAAAACAAGAATGAGTTAAGGCCATGTGGGTCTGGATTAAAAATCTGGCTAATGGCAAAAGCATTGAGCATTGCTGCTATCACAGTGGGTACGCCTGGTGAACTCAAGTGCACTGACGATTGTACTTCTAGCATCGGGTCCTGTAATTAATACCTTTAATGTCGTTCATTTGGCACAATCAATATGCTGGTTAATATTTAAGTGCTATAGGTC